CTAAGATGGAGTGCCATCTAAAACTGAAACATAACAAAATAAAAATTGGTGTTGTGTGAGTTACTTTGATCAGACATTGGAAAAAAATATCTCTAGATTTGTTCAAACAAAGCAAAAACAATAAAGCATTTTCAAATCTCTAACTTCTTGGTGGAAAAATCAGAATCCATAATAATCATGATGGTTTACCCAGCACAGATGAAAACAAATCCTTCTTATGAAGCCCAAAATAAAAAGCACAGCTTATTGGGAAAATTTGATGAGAACTTTTAGAATGTGGGACTGTATTATTTCTAAACCACAATAAACGGCAGCAACAAAGTCACTGGATGAGTGCCAGGGTATGTTCCTAGAAATTCAGGTCACAACACTGAAAAGGTGAATATGCTGTAAATAGTGGACAAAACAGTATTTTGCAGGAGACATTTTAGGGGCATAAGGATTGAGACTGTGGAACTATCACACAAAACTGTACTCAAATAGAAAAGAATTTACCGCTGTCACTGGATATCAGCACATACTGCACAGTATAGCTAAAATAGATCACAAAGCCTAGGGGATATTTTTGACAAATCTTGAGCTTCTTCACCACCTAGACTTTGCACATGATCAGAAACCTACAAAGGCAGAACTTCAAAGTGAAATACAAGCCCAGAAGAGAAGTTCCTGTAGCAACATGTATTGGTGTCTGCAAAAAAATGGAGCAGAAATTCTGAGGGAAAGTATCATTAATATGAAGAATCTTCTTTTAAAAGATTAGGTCAGGATGGCTTGCCCAAAACCCAGTTCTCCTGGCCTGTCAGGACTTCTGCAGTATAAAACCCCAAAGCTAACCTGGAAAATGAAAGGAAAGAAAGCAGTGACACTGAAGGAAACTCCTTCCAGGCATCAGAAAAGATTTATGGATCTGACAATGATGTTACGGGAAGTCTGAGGATCAAACATACTTCACTGGTCCCAAATGTGTGTGAAAGACTAGATATGGTTAGGACATGCAGACGATTTGTATCTTTTTCTTTCGTATGACAATAAAATGTGTACAGCAACGTCTGAAACATTTGAACAAGCTAATCCGCATGAATCAATTAATAGATACTTTCATTATGGAAAGTCCATTATATTCTAGAGGCAGAAGCAGAAGCTCATATACTAGCAGATAATGCACTTTAGAGAGCCCAGGAGCTGTGGATAACTGATCTGGAGGATACCCTTAAGCGCATACTAGATTATTATTACAAAAACATTTTTGAAGTAGCTCCGGTAGACAATGCATTGCTGATCTCGGGGTGGGGTGACACAAAGGTGATGTTCACCATCTAAAGTAGCAATAATGACCTCACTTCATTGAAAGAACCACAGGGCACTTCTGAAAAATTTCAAGGCACTGGCATTTTATTTACCTGCAGGCACACACGGAGAATTAGAGGCAAATCCAGCCACCAGCACTGCCCACTGTCCCAGGGACTGGCTGAAGGATGCAAAAATCACCAATCAGACTCTGTTCAAGTTGGTCAGGAGTGCTGGTGATTTGTTTATTAAGCTGCTAAAATGCATGTCTGAAATCAACTATTTCATCTTCACAGGCTCTAGAAAGGAGACAGCACAAAGCTGTAACCCCTGTGAAAAGACTGTTTTTTCATTTCCAAAACCTCACATTGGGGTGAAACAAAACAGCTGAATGAACAGAGGGGGAAAAAGTTGAAATACTGTTCATGATAAAATGGCAGTACACAAAATCTCTTCCGAAACAGGATTGCAAGGGTCAGTGCCACTCCACTGAGATAACTGAACACCCTGGGCTGGAGTTTGGGAACTCCAAAGGAGGTATTCCTCACTGGTGAAATTGCAGAAGCTTAGGAGCTGCTTGTATCAGTATGAGCACGGCAGCTGGTGACCACACAAGTCCTGTGACATGTGGAAGGTGATTTCCAGCAAGCCACCTACCTCTGGGAGAAAACAGACAACACAGTTCACAGCCTACACACTCCATGGCTGATGTAGTGGCAATGCACAGGAATATGCAGAACAGACCTTGATACTTATGTGGGAGAAAGTATGAGCTGAAAAGTCAGGGGGCCTATAACAGCATCTGCTGAGGTGCCTCCCCTCCATGGGTTAACCATATTAATTCCTAGCATCCTAACCCTGATTCAGACCTTGTGCTTTCCTTAAGCTTTGTCTTCTCTATGAAAGCATATATACAGAGCTTTAGCTCAGGTTCCAAAGATGCATTTACTTATGAGACATGTACTCGACACAGCAAGCTTCCTAAGTGCAATGTCCAGTGCATTTGTTACATATGGTAGGAGTGAACTTCACTATCACATCAGCTGAAACAAAAGTTTTGTCCACTTGCATCTGGATAAGCAGTAAGGCAGCTCATAGTTGAATCTTGTAAAACCTGACCAGGCTCTATTTTGGTATGAAACATACTCACCTGGTTCTCCACCTGCTCTGAAACATCTTCACTCTTTCGGGGTCTTCCTCTGCTATGCCTACATCTCCTTTCTAGCACTTGTCTTCCTTGTTTAGCTGTTGATGTGCCTTCAGGTATCCTTCTAAAGAAAGAAGTGTAACAGCACCAGCCGCCTCCTTAGTGTGTATAGGAAAAGTTAGCATACACAGGAGCTTAAGATCTAGCAACTTATCTTTGTGATAAGGTCCTCCAGATCTCACAGGCAGGATTTTTGATACTGTCTATTCCAGACACCTTGCTGCCTTTAAGCTTGAATTGTTTCCCATCACCATTTGTTCATTCAAGGCAGGTACTGAGCTGCATTCTTATTTAAATCTTCCACAAGTAGTGATTCTAGCACAGTGCGTTTTTTACAATTTTGTATGTTCAAAATTATGTAACAGAAAAGTATATAGACCCTGTGTTTGTAAGATGGGTGATGCTAGTCTTACATGAACAGTTCTGTTTACTGCCTGACAAGGATACCTGCTGCTGCCCAGAAAGAAGACACATTTTCCTGAATCATAGAATGGCTGAGGTAGGAAGGCATCTCTGGAGATGGGCAAGTCCAATCCCTGACTAAGCAGGGACACTGGGAGCAGGTTGCCTGTGGCTATTTCTCACTGGGTTTCTGAAGTTCTGTTGCATATTAGAAGTTTACGTGTGACAGATGACTTCATTATAAGAAACTTCAGAGCTGGTACCAAAATTACAGGTGATGGGATGAGGGAAGAGGTGCATTTCGAGTCCAAGGAATTCTTCGTGAATAAGAAGATATAGTGTCAGATTTTTTACATCCGCTTAGGGTCTTATTTAGAAATACAATACCCAAGAGAGGTTGGTCTAAGGAATTAGTCCTTAATTCTGATGAGGATGAAACTGTCATGTCAGCTTTGCAAGCTGAGCAAATTGGACAAACCAGCCCAAGACTCAGCTAGGAGATGAAGCGGTTTTAAGGTGTGCTGCCATTTTATTTCTTTGTATTTACTTCCAAAGCCAATATTTTCCTGACTTTTTCCCATCTTTTCTAGAGTAAATATCTCTAATTTAACATTATGTTTTCTCCCATTTCAGGACCTATTTCAGGCTGTCTTGATAAATATTAAACATTTTACTTTTCAGGTTTGGAAAAGTCCCTGGAAGATGCTGGTTTTATCCAGGGCACTTCTCTTCTAACCAATAAGAATTGGTAACACAGGCTGCCAGGCTGGTGGCTAGAGATATCCCTTGCTATCAGCCAGAGGCTTTGGAGGAGCATGCAACAGGGAGACACGGAGATGGCCTAAGACACAAGCTTTGTATTAATTCTGACACCTAATATTACTACTGGCTGACAGCATGACTCACTGGTGTAACTCACACTTGCAAACCAATCAGGGATGTGCAAGGAGAGCAAATTCCTCAGTGACAGAGTGCCCAGAACTCCCAGGTTCTGCAGTGAGACTCTCCAACTTCCCATGTAATATGTGCCACCACAGTTCACCCACAGCAATGCGAGGGCTGGCATCTGTAGATTTCATATTTGTAACAGAGTGTGGTGGAATACAGTTGTATTGCAGTAATTCATGATGTTAGGTTTTTATAGTGCTACTTTTTCAAAAGAAGCATAGTAGGTGACCCGTCAATAGTGTTTCTGGGTTGCTATAAACATGGTCCAAGCATGAGTTGATGATAACATAATGCTTTTTAAGTCTTTATTATTTTGAAAGCGTGTTACATTGATTTCAGGCTAGTCTGATCCCAGTCCCAGAGGACAGTGCAGTAGGAAGGTCAGCAAGATTGTCAGCTGTCACAGCAAGGGGATTTGGAAGAAGACCTTTGAGCCTGTTGCTGTGTGGGTTCATAATTTGTTCCTTTGCAACACCGTTGATACCTATTCTTTTCAGCAAAGTTAAGACCAAAGCCTGGTATGAATCTGGATGGAAGTCAGGGTGAAGATAGTCTGTTCAAGATGAGAAAATAAGAGAAAGAACTCTGGACTTTTAGTCCAGAAAGCTATTCAGTGACTTGGTACCTGATATTAAATGGCACCTATTACTTGAAAAAAGCCCCCACTATATATGCAATAAAAAATGTTGACAGATTCTGAAGTAATTTTTTAAAATTTTGATGCTGCAAAAGTTGGCAAGCCTTCTTTGAAAAAGAAAAAAATCCTTTTGCTTTAAAAGTAGTTTAAGCTCACTATCTTCCATTTTAATTACCTATACTCTACTATGGCTACCTGATACCTTGAGATCATCTTCTCCAGGACGCCAAGGTACATGTCCCATGCTCACATGCATGAGCCATGCCCCTAGCTTTGTTTCCCATTGCCAAGCCTGTGAGTAATCCAGACCTCACAATTTTTCTCTCTTTAACAGAAAGTGTCAGCAGCAGACCACACGTGCTGGTGGCATTTCTGCAGGGAGCTGTGCACAAAAGCCAAAGCCTGATGGTTACCATGGGATTCTCTCATTAAGCTTTTACTGAATATACTGAATTCTTCACTGTTTGTTAATCTTCTCTGCTCTTCTCCCCTTCCCTAATTTTCTTGCCCTCTGTGCAGGAATATGAATGGTATCAAACACTGATGAAGGCAAAAGAGCTGCTGCTCTCCAGCACCTGGCAGCACAGTTTTATGGTTGCATTTGGCTTGAGAAATCCCATCTTTCAAATTCTTGCCAAATAGACATTGCTGTGTGTTTTAGAAGAAAAAGAAATCATCTACTGCACCTGTTGTTATTTATGGATAGCAGTAAAAAGCTCTGAAGAAGGTGGGTACTCAGCAGTCAGCATTGGACCAGCATCTTGTTTTCACTAATCTCCCTTTGTGCTCCTTTTAACAAGTGCAGGAGCCTTCATATGGGTGTGTTTTACACTTTCACCCCTCTGAAGGCCCATTTACACTTCCAGAGAGGTATGAGAGGGTCCCAGAAATGAACATGATTATTATTTCACATGAAATTTACATGTGTAAACTGGAAAGGGTTTACATATGTATCCTGTGTGCCCAGGCTTGCAGAAATGGTCCTTGGGGAAGACTTGGCTCTGTAGAAACATCAACTTTACCTGTACCTAGGCATCTCAGCAGAAAGATTTCTGGCCTTTTGGATCCTAGCAAAGATATCGAAACCCCCAGGGAGGCCATCACAACACTTTAATGCACATCCCATTTCACTTAAGGGTTTTTTTCCGCCTTAACTTCTCAGATAAAAAAGCCTGAGTGACAGATATTTTCCTCTGTTGTCCAAACCTCCAGTGTGCTCCAAGTGCATCAAAAAAAATCGTCAGCTATCACAGTGGTCACCAGCTATGGATGTGCCTGTTTTGAGACAGGTGCTGGCCTGGATCAGGCTACCCGTGCCCATTCCAGTTGTTTTCTGGGCTCTGGCATGAGTCTGCGACTGCTGTAAGCCAACAGCAGGTTTTAGAAAGCCAGAAAGGCAATTATAGTGACTTGTTCCTGGCACATTCCTGTTAATGTGTTTGCTCACTTTCTTCAGGATCTTAAAGAGAATTAGCAGTAAATGCAGGCAACTGACAGGATCTTAGTTATAAGTAGTAGCAACTTCCACTCTGACACACGGGAAGGGCTAACAGCATTTTTCTCAAGGCAGAGTTGTACCTCCAGAGAGGTACTTTAAAAAAAATACATTTTCTAGCAAGAAGCCTCTCCCCGTTGTTTAGGACGGATGGTAGTGGAGAAGATTCTGAAGTGATGGAGTTAGAGGGCAACCAAGTATTGTACAAACTGTCACAGTGCGAGGGCTGTTGCAGATCATCTATTTTTGTTATTACTGACACGCATCCTTTATATCGGGAGCTCAGGCAAAAGTCACCAGTGGCAAAATAAAAATATCAGTACAGATGTGGATGAAATCTTTATTTCTCTCTCCATACAAGCTGTGAAAAATCTCAGGGAAATTAGCAGGGTGTAATACATGTGGAGCCCTGAAACTCAAGGGCTGAATCAAATTACTGAATTTATTTAGCTTGATGAGTGAAGTGTACCTGTCCGTAGGGTCTAATCACAGAGAACTGATTTTCAAAGGTCCTTTTGTTCTGTTTCAGAGGAATTTGAAAATCAAAATAAACATTAGTGGGGCTTTCAGAAACACCTAAGCTAAACACCCGAAAAGAGTTTAAGATCCTCTGAATTTTAGTGAAACTGGGAACCTGGCTTGAGGTTATCTCTCCTCATGGACATCACAGAAACAAGATGCTTGAAGGGACAGCTAAGGTTGCTGGGTCCAGTTCTTTACAACTTCAAACAGCCCTGTAACGTTTGAGAAGCATCAGCCTCAAGGCCCCTTCCCTGTCTGTATTTCTCCAGAAAGTCCTGTAGTTTTACTTGCCAGCAGGTCCTTCTATGAATCCATCTGGTCTGTTTCTCCAGGTTCTGTTATGGACAATGGAGATGAAAACTGAAGTGCAGAATAGGAATAATTCAGGGACAAGAACTGAATGATGAACTTCCATTTCACAAGGATGGAGCCCTTAAGAGAATAAGCTACAGCAAAGGTGATAGTTCTGGAAGATGAGCTGGGGGTGTGACCAGTCAACCCAGTTAAACAGAATTTGACAGCGTGAGTTAAACAGAACTTCTGGCCATAATTCAGGTGGCTTTCAGGACTGAGAAGGCTTTTTTTAGTGTAAATGGTCTGTAAGTCTGAGGTTGGGGATGGTTTTTGAGATTGGTCCTGATGGTTAACCCAGCAGTCCTCTGGTGGCATATAACACCTTCATGTCAATTTTTCCTGCTATTTCCTTTGATTTCTCTAGATGTAAAAAGTACTCTACTGAAATGGCAAACTATAAAATAGTAATAAGTAAAGCAAATAAGCACATCAGTAAGCATTAATAAAAGTAATGGCACCAAGTAATTATGCACGTGATTCGGGATGTTTTCACATCCATAAAAGAGGTTGAGTATGTTCAGTTTCAAATAGTGATTTATCCTTTTTCTCCTAAAGTTTATTTTCAGAAGTGCACCTGAGTTGTAGCTTTCCTAATGCAAAAGTTTTGGAGTGTTGTCCTTACTTGCCAAAACTCCCTCCTCTAACTGAACTAACTCTCTAGCAAGTGCAAAGTCTCAGAGGAGTGAAGCAAGGGAGAGCTTTGCCACTTCAAATATAAAGAGCTAGAACCAGACAAAAGTCTGACTGCTTCTTCTACATGAAAGGCATGCTCTGAGTTAAAACAGAGACTTGGGAAGAGATTCCTGACAATCCAGACTTGTTTTTCCCACTGGTGCCAAGAGGATGTGACCTCTTGGACGGTACCATTGGTCACCTCTGGGTACTGCTGGTGGTGGAGCTGGGGCAGGGTGTGAGTGTTTGGGGCTCTGGCAGGAGCAGGGAGCAGGGAGAAGGGAGGTAGATCTTGCTGCCCTTCCTGGCTGCCCCTGCTTGAAGGACTTCTTCGCTAAACGTGTGACCAGAGCTGTTCCTGCTCAGGTGGCGCAGCACCACTGACATACTGGCTGCTTTGACACTAAGGACATAGAGACCCTGCTTAGTTTTAATTGGAACTCACCAGATGTACAGATTAGTTAGTTACCCAACATGCCCATAAGAACTGAGGCTGTCGTGGGGCAACAGTCTCAAGTGTCCAGGCATGAGAAAGACAAGCTCAGGAGAACGGGCCTGAAGACACGGTGCTGGTTTCTCATAGATTTTCTTTCATGGAGCAGACTAAGCAGTTGGACATATCAGGGCTGCCAGGGTTGGGGGGTCTCACTTGGACAGAGTTATCAGGAACTACTTTTCAGGCTGTGAATTAATGAACAAGAGGCATTTTTGCACAGGAAAAACTCCAGAATGAGTGATGCTTTTGGCAAAAGTACTGGATTTCCAAAAGCACGGGGCATTACTGGCCCATCTTTTGAGCTTATGCTTTATCTTTCTGTTTATGTGCAAAAATTTCCCTGCTGCTGAATTAGTCTGCTCAATAGAAAGCTTGGCAAGTCTGAAGAAAGCTGTGCAATTGAGCAAGAAGCTAGAAGGACATGAAATACACTGAGAATTGTAGGTTACAACTAATATTTAAGGGAAAAGAGGTCATGTAGCAGATTCCTACTATCACATTGGCCAAACAGATATGCAAATATCTTCTGATTTATCCTTAATACTCATGTTTTGCACAAAGTCTCCCAGGGCGCCAATCCCCTGGAGTGATATTCATTCACATGAAATGAAATACGCAGAATAGTGGGAAGGATAAAAAGATTTTACTGGCACAATTATGGCAATGAGCGAGTTATGTAGGTCAGCACAAATGAGTGTAGATATGGTCACCAGACCATGCATTTCACAAATGCTAAGCATGAAAGGGGAAAAAATCAGAATTTTTGTAGAGCATTTAAAAATTATTGAGGATAATTGCTGTAGGTTTTTGTTTTTCAAGCAAAGCAAATATTCAGGCATCTTAAATGCAAAAAGTGAGATCCTGAATTCTCACTGAAACAAACAGCAAAATTCCTACTGACCTTAATGGAGCTGGGATTTTATCCAGGTAGCCAACTGCAGGACTCAAAGAAGGGAAAAATAATAACCGATACATTTTTGAAACTGATATTTTTTCTGTTTTTTTTTTTTTTTTTTTAATACATGCAACTTTTATTTTTACTACAAACGTAAATTCAGAGACTCCCTCAGCTCAAAAAGCAAGATTTTTGCATACTCTTGAGATGCTAGGAATATTTCCATTGGGAAAGAATTGTAGCTTAAATGACAGGTGAATCACAGAATCAGAGAATGGCTGGGAGGTGCCTCTGGTTATAATTTAGTCCAACCCCGCCCCCTGCTCAAGCAGGGCAACCTCACATAGGTTGCCCAGCATGATGTCCAGATGATAGGGTTTGATTGCCTCCAAGGATGGAGACCCCACAACCTCTCTGGGTTGATCACTCTCATAATAGAAACGTTCTCTGATATTCAGAGGAAACTACAGTGTTTCTCTGTGTGTTCCCATTGCCTCTGGTCCTATCACTGAGTACCACTGAGAATTGTCTGGCTCCATCTGTCTATTAAAAGCCAGACCTGGGGATAGAACTAAAAATTTTGTACCTAAGGCTACAACCCATTTTTTTTTAGGGGGTGCAATTTTCACACTTGCTAGGAAGAAGGAAATAGTTTTTGATTGTTGATACAAAATATTAAAAAAATAATATCAAAGCTAATAACAAGAATTCCAGCAACCATTTGCATGATTGGAAACAACCCCAAGAGAACAAAACTGATGGACAGAGAAAAATGGGAAGATAGAAGCAAATGGTGCTGGCTATATGTTATATGGCTCTCTGAAATCATTGCCTGCATGTTACCACCACCTGCAATGTGACCATGTGCTGCCTTTCTTGATCCCAGAACATCTTTGCAGACACAAGGAACAGCACAGCATCATCGTTCATACAGTCCAGGCACTGATACTCCTCTAAGTCAGCTGGAGTAGGTGGTATAGGGCCCAATCCCTCAGTCATGCTTACATGGTTTCCTCTGACATCCTTGGTTTTGCCACTCTCCCCACCATTAACTTTGCACCACAAACTTTTGATTATAATCTGACTTGTACCATAATTTCACTTTGCCAGTATCTTCATTAGTCTTTAAATGTTGCTTTATTTATTTATTTATTTGCCTCCATCCCTCTGATGCTCTCCAGTTTAATAGACAGGGTGGAGTTTTCTAAATCCACTGGTGAAGGCTGTCACATGATGCAGCTTTTGTTGCTGGGACTGGGATATTTTACTTTTCCCAAGAAGTTTTTTCTAGCCACCTAAAAGTGGGGTCAGATTTTGGCCAGTGCTGAAGATGCCTGAAATTCACACACATGCTGAGTATATGTATGAAATGAACATGAGAACTAGGTGGGGTTTTTTGCTTTCCTTTTTTTTTCCTTAGAGGTCAGTGTTTCTGGTAGTTTCAAATAAAAATTTTTGTCTAAATGAGTTTCAGCACTTTCAAAGCATTGTTTCCTTTCTGTTTCTGCTCTTCATCCTTTATGGACCTCTGTCCTGCCCAGTATCTGCCATTGTGTAATCTGTGATTTGATCTATTTATTGACTTAGAAGCACATACTATGACAATATTAAAATAGAAAAGTTATCTAATCCTATGGAAGACATAGTCAAAATGCTGACATTCTCAAAACATTCTTGCATTGTTTTCCTGGATTTGAACTACAAAAGATAAGGCCAAACCAAAGATGGAACACTTTTCTTATTTAGCATCAACAGTGTTCAGAATGTTTTGCATAGTAGATTTCTGTCTAAAATTTAAGCAGGTTTTCACATATTATGCTAGACAACACCTTACATTCCTGTCATGTTGAGCAGACAGTGAAAGCAAAGATTAAATGGAAAACATGTCTTCATATTAATTATGGATGGCTAGTATTTCTCAGGACCCCAGGGAAATAAGCAAAAATTCTTGGCTACTGGAAGCTTGAAGGTATTGCTTCAAATCAGTAAATGTGGACAATTTACATGGATAACATGCCAGATATCGGCATGAAAATATTTGTCAGAAATTGATGGATGAAACAAGAAGAATAATGAAGAAAAATGACAGTACACATAGCCTCCAGAGAGCAAAATAAACAATGTAAGTGTCTGGTAAATAAATTCCTGCAGAACTCTTAGAAATTACTTACTGATTAATTGAATCTATCCATCAACCTGTTGTGATGGCATCAATTTGCAGTCCCTTCGATGTTGTTCTCCTTCCACACCTACTGCTTTAGATGCCTTTAAAATGTGGGATATGATATAATATATCTATATGGAGCTATCATAAATTAATTAGGTACTCTAGTGAGATATAATTGCCTGATGGTTTACTCAACTGTCATATGCACATGTTTAAACTAACCATGTCACCTTATATTAGTTCCCTTTTCCCTGCCCTCCTCCTTTTCCTGACCATTTTTGTTCACCCACTTTTTTGATTGATTAAAACAAAATTTATCAGCAGAGTGGGACTGTGAAATAATATTTTGTCTTTTAATTTTTTTTAATTTAAATGTTTTCATTTACTGACTTTAATTAACATATCAACTCTTTGCAGAAAGACCTGTCTCATTTAATGTGTTTATAGACTGTACCATGCTTATACATCCAGTAATTATATGAAATGGTAATTTTTTTATAGAGAATACCCATCTTAGGACTTTTGATAGGAGCAATAGGAAAAGCTAAGTAGAAAAGGGGAGAGACTGTGTGTGTGTTTTTATATCCCTGCCATTAAATATACTCACATAACAGGAACTTCTTCTCAGTGAGGGTGACGGAACACTGGAACAGGCTGCCCAGGGAGGTTGTGGAGTCTCCTTCCCTGGAGACATTCAAAGCCCGCCTGGACACATTCCTGTGAGACATTCAAAGCCCGCCTGGACACATTCCTGTGTAACATTATCTAGGTGTTCCTGCTCTGGCAGGGGGATTGGACTAGATGATCTTTTGAGGTCCCTTCCAATCTCTAGCATACTGTGATACTGTGAACAGCATGTATGTGTGTATGGGTGTATGACAGAAATGAACCAACATTTAGCAGAAATGCACACAGATGCGTGAATACTGAGAATACCATGTAAATTCATAAAATTGCACATACTTACATGTTCTCCTAGGAACAAAAGGATCACCTGCATGCATAGAAACCAACCATCCAAATGTTTGCAAGTGAAAAAGCTGAGACAAATTTGAGGGGACTGAAATGTGAATCTGACTCAGTCAATGTGTTCACAAACACATTTTCTATAAATTTCCTTCTAGCCCACCTGTGCCTTTTGTAGTTCCAGGTATTTATGGCTCTCTGTACACTCACTCAGCTATAGCTTTAGCAAATGTGATTGCACATTTGAAAATGAGTCCTACTAGGGCTCGCTGTACTTGATGCCTTCTGTAACACTGCAACCCTTACTGTGCTATTAATTGTCTCCCTGTGTTTGGAGCCTTTGGAGGATGTCAGTAACCTTTGTGCCTCCTTCCAGTTTTGCACATAACCACAGTGACACCGTCCTCCATGACTGTCATCACTGTTGTGAACAGTTTGAAACAATGGATGCACAAAAAAGTGGTATGGCATTTTGGGAGGGTATTTGGGGTTGTGTACAGGAAGAGGGTAGAATGAGAATGGGACAAGATGATGGTAATTAGGAGAAAGAAATGAAATTTGTATGGAATAGCATTCTGTGTAGCAGAACAGAATACTGTTGAAGAAAAAAGGCTCAATATGAACATACTTCTTCACGTTTAGCTCCATATAACCTACTTCCCAGCAGGACAAAGGCAAAGCTAGGAAAGTGGTTAGGTAACAG